ACTACTACTACTACTACTACTACTACTACTACTACTACTACTACTACTACTACTACTACTACTACTACTAACAGCACTTGATACTGAAAAGAGGCCTATCTGTGTTTTTCGTCATGCTCTATTATTACCTCGTCAGGCACTGGAACATTCAGAAACATTCTCCGCTTTCTGAAAAGCATACATGGCAAGCAGCAGATTTGAGAAAATCTTTCGTTATCTATAACCGAGTACCCATTTCCACTTGGGTGAAATGAGTATACTAGGTGTGAGGTGCCTTTTCCAAAGGCATGACGTCGGACCCCTAACAGTGTTTGAACCCTGACTTTTTGGCTACGAGCTGGCCAACTTTATCCCTAGACCGCCGACGCTAAGGCGACAGTTTGTCCCGGGAGAGACCCGTTGGGATTTTGAAACCTTTGAATTAGAGTGTAATGTACCGCACCTATTACGACAGGACATTTTTGTCGATTTGCGTCCCGAGCAGTTGTGAATTGCTACAACATCGGTGGGACAGGACTATCCCAGTCCGGGGGTAAAATCGTCTGTGATTATAGAGACATATAGCCGCCTACCCCATTAGGACAAATCTGTCCCAGACTTCGTGGCGCCTATGTCAAGATCGTGGGGCTTGCGAGTTGTCACGTATAATCACTTTAAAATTTGCCGCCGCGCAGGATTAAACTAGGAGCACAAAATTTTAAAAATAATTATCGCATCTCAAAACGGATTTCATATTCGGAATCAGCGTCTCAAAATAAGCAAATTGGCCCTCGAGGAACCTGATTTGATGCGATACTAAGTACATTTTAGCAAATAATTTTTTATTTTTAATTGATCGTCAATGGTGAAGTTGTGTATCAAGGTCACTCGGTGAAACACACACGCGAACACACACACACACACACACACACACACACACACACACACACACACACACACACACACACACACACACACATACACACACGACACACACATACAAATATAATTGAACTTCGTTATCCGGCTTTGAATTGCGCTCCCCGCGTGATTTTTGCTAATTTTGAGTCGCTGAACACGATAATCTTATATTTTTATTTGGAAAAAATTTAGAAAATTTTTAAAAATGCATTTTTAACCCCGCCGTGAGCAACAACTAAAAAGCCACCTTATGGGCGGGATCGGTTCTGTCTTAGAGCAGTATCTGTTCTGACATGCAAAAGAGCGACAGTGGGACAGGACAGTCCTGTCCGAGACAAGAATGTCGTAGTGCGGTACAAGCCTACATCTATTATACAAAGTGCCCCGAAACTCACATTCTCCTTTTTTCAGGACCTTGTTCTTGAAGGGGACAGAGACAATTTTGTCAGCGAGCACGCCGGTGTAGAACATTGTCTTGACGACAAGTCGGCCGCTCACTGTGCGCTCTGCGTCACTTTTGTTGGTGAGTTTGAGCGACACTTTGAAGTCTTCACCGACCCATGTATTGGCTGCATCTTGTACCACTTCGAAATTAACGTCCTGGGAGTGATTATACAATAGACGGGAATTTTAGTTGGAAAAAAAATACAATTCAGTGAAGAGCAGGTACAGTAAAAAGAAGCATGGCAATGTAGAATGATAGAACTGATCCGAAAATTGAATGGACTTTGTACAAGTCTTGTTAAACAGAAAGTAGGAAATTACAGATACTGGACTCTTGACCGTGGGTTAAGATAAAAAAAGGGGAGGTTTTTTTCACTAAACTTTCTGGTAGACACTGAACAGGTGGGTGTAAAATAATATTTGGCATCCCCCCCCCCCCCCCCCCACCCGCGACCTTTTAAACTGTCAAGGTATTGACAAAAGAATACATTTTCTGGAAAGATTAAATCGAAATATATAAAACCCACAGACGTGTCGTGTCTTCTGCTGTTCTTTTTGTTGTTGTTGTTATGTTTGCTGTTGTGGTTTTAAAAAAAAAAAAAAAACCGAATCAATGGGGCGGTGAGAACCGGGACTGGAAACACCATCAGGCCGCATGAGAATCCCCTGACTTCAGTGAAAAGATGCAAACTGGTGTGATACGGGAACATAACATGATCACCACGACTGACCTAGACTATCTCATCGGGACTTCAAAAGGAGAGGGGGGGGGAGGGGGGTGTTGAGCAGTCGAAGACAGAGGAAACAGAAGAGGACAACATCAAAGAGTGGACTGGCTGTGACTGGAACGTCTTTTAAAAGAATACTCACAGCCGAGAAGAGTGGAAGAAGCTGGTTGTGACATTTTAGTCTGTTGTGATGCCCCAACAGTTAGCTAGACTATCAGGTGTCATACTTTTAGCCGAACGCAAGATTCAAGTAGTTAGAGCTTTAATGCTTAACATTAATAGTGCATTAGTCTAGAACCGGGGTTCTCAATAGTAACTATTTTGCTATAGTCGGTATGTGCTTTTTACGGAAGTTTAAAGACAAAAGCATCATTCACTTGTTGACTACAACTTTTATACATCACAAGAATATAACGTCATTTGAATAAGAAAAAAGTGAAAGTACAGATGACTTGAAAAACCTTTTTCCTCTGTTATTCAGGAATAATTATTCAAAGGGCAAGGTTGGGAGCTTCTAAGGAAAAAAAGGTGAGAGGGTGAAGAGTGATGAGAAGATGGAGGACATTGTGGGAAAATAAAAAACATAAGTGTCGGGCAAACGAGACAAGAGTAAGAATATTATTTTAATAAGGTTCACAAGGTAAGGCATTAAGCCAGCTACCTTTACGAGACAGAGATACATTTCGCTTCTCTCTGGACGATGTAGCAATGAATGATTTGACCAAATCTCATCCGTCTCTTCTCTCTCTCCTTTCACTTTCCCTCTCATTCCCTCTGTCTGTCTGTTTCTTTCTCTACTCTCTCTCTTTCTCATCTTTCTCTCTTCTGTCTTTCCCTCTCTCTCTTTCTCTCTCTCTCTTTCTCCCTATCTGTCTGCCTGCCTGTCTCTTTCCTCTCTCTTCTCTCTCTTTCTCTCTCCTCTTTCTCTCCTCTCTCTCTCTCTCTCTCTCTCTCTCTCTCTCTCTCTCTCTTTCTCTCTCTCCCCCTCCCCCTCCCCTCTTCTTCTCCCTCTCCCAAGACGTTGTCCGTCAACTGCAGGATAGAACCCTCCAGCAATGATCTCCACTCTGTTCTATCTAACTCCCCCTACCTTGGCCGTTGTCTCGTACACGTCGTCCTTGGTAGAAGCCAGCTGGTTGGCCCTACGGACAGCAGCTCTCTCGGCAACAGATCCTGTGGATCGTTGTGAAAAAGTTTAGTTTTTGTAGTAAGATTTTTATGGCTCTCGCAACTGCATACGCTCATATGAGTGCCAAGGGGTGGATGTCAACAGAGAGGTCGAGAGGGGGAATCAGACTTACTCTACTCACCTTGCTAGCCTCAACAGCACAAAGTCTACTTCGACTATCAAGGCACCCCGGAAATAGCAGTTCACAAGGGAGTGACAAACATACAAACGGAGTAGATGAAAAATGACGATAGTAAGGATGACGAAAGAAAAAGTAGCAGTTCCCCTTATGTCGCTCCGGCACAGTATGAGCATGACATTGTTAAATTAGCCCATTAACAATTCTATTGTGCATAAGAACATATTAATGTTTTTACATTGAAAGTCAAACATCCAGCAAGGCACCAGTAAGTCTTCAAAGACATTACTCCAAAGGATAAAGACCTTTATTTTTTTAAAGCTTTAGTAAGAGTTTTGCGGCCCATGCAGCACAATAAAGTCGTATGTGCCGAAGATTAGAGGCGTTACAAGAGAGTAACAAACACAAGAAAGAAGGAGGAGAGATCAGGACGATATATTATGTTTGATAGTAAAGAAGGAGCAAATCATACTAAAGCACCCTCCAACAACCCACAGACAAAGACCTGAGCATGCGTGTTTCATTTTGAAACAAAGCTGACGGACAAAAGAAAACGAAATTGAACTAAAAATTCACTGCGGAGACCACGGCTCTGAAATAGGCGAGTGGCTACCCTAGAATTACAAAGTTCTGTCTGCTTGGTGCCTAGTTTTGAGAAATTTTGAATTAAAAAATTGTTGATTGCCTTTCATTGTCAAGATTTTTCGAATGCAATTCTTTTGAATGTCTTGGTAACGACTCCGAATAAACTTACGATTTATGTACTGGGGACGAGCTGGAAAGGTATTTTAGAATAAACAAACCGGAAAAAGGGTTTATTTTGATTTTGTGTCGAAATAAAGCGTCTTGGGGATAGACGGATAGATCTGATTTAAACTTTTTAAACATCGACATAATATCTATATTTAAATAAAGGACAGGAACATTGATATTATGGGGGACAAGTTCATGCTGTTTGGCCAAAGGTCAACCAGAAGTGAAAGAATAAATGATGCATTCATGGGGATTGGGGGGGGG